CCTCAGTTCCAGGACGCGGGCTGTAGCCCAGTTCAGTGGCGCGGGAAGGGCGCCTTTTGCACCGCTCCCCTGCCTGGGCGCCTGGTTCCTGCTCACTCAGGGAGGGACCTTCACCTCAGTGAGGACCTCTGCGCCTCCCCGCAAGCCTAGGTCGTCTCCCAAGCCTAGGTCGCAGGCGCGGGGACCTGGGCAGCCGAGATCCAGGTCTGCACTTGCTTTTCAAGCGCGCCGAGCGCCGCGTTTCTGCGCCAGCTTACCGGCAGCCCGGGCTGTGTGCGCGTCTCCCGGGGTCTTTGTTCTTCTCTAATGGCGCCCGGAGCCGTTCGCTCACCGCCGCGGCGGATCCTGCAGGGTTCTCCACAGCTCCCGTTCACGGGGTGTGGTGGCTGCAATAGTTCCTTTCCACTCACAGTCCCGCTTACTGCGTCCGTTTTTCTTGTTGGCCGTTTTGGTTTGTTGTTTCCTCCTCTCTGCCGGTCGGAGAGTGCCGCCTCTGTGGGCGGGGGAGGGGAGCAGGGTTCTGCGCTTCCCTCCCTTCTGGTCCTCTTTTATGGCAACTTTCTTCTTTGGGCAGTTTGCTGGAGTCACCCGTTTATCTTCCGTGTCCCAGTTCTCACTGGGACCTGCCGCTTTTCCTCCCTATTCACTTTTTTTAATGGGAGATCTTACTCGCAGCGTCTCCTCGCCGCCATGTTGCTCCGCCCCTCTCTGTCATAGCATGACTGTTTTAGTATCCTTCTCATAGGAGTTTGTGAGTTTGAGTCATTATTCTAGCATTTATTTTCCTTGTGCCCTAAGGTCAGAAAGCATAAAGACCTAAGGATATAAATATTACTTTAATTAATGAATCTCTTAGATTAACATGAATCGTCCTGGTTTCTTCTCGAAAAAGCTCAGCATAGGAGACACTGAGAAGTCTGCAGCTTCAGAAAATGTGATTAATGATGGTTTTGTGTCATTTAACTCAGTCAAATCTATTTTCATAACTCTTGAGTTTTTATGGTGATTTGGCTTAGTCACAGGGGCAAGAATAAGACCTGGTTTCTGTCACTGTGGACCTTCATTTCTATGGTGTTTACAAAGTGGTATCCACTTAAAATATTTTTTCAGAAATAGCACATCAAATTGAAAAAGTATATATTGTAATGATACTGACAGCCAAAAATCCCTCATGTTTTCAAAAAGCATGGACTTTTGAGTCACAATAGAGAAAAAATTGTTTCTCAGTTGAGCGGCTTATTGCATAGGTAAATGCTGTGTTAGTCTTGCATCCAGGCACTGCACTAGGGGACAAGGAACATATAGACAGAGCTTGCTTATCCTCACTAAGTTTCCATTCTCCAGTCTTCAAGATCAAATTGTCACAAGCTTTTACCACTCTTTTCAAAGGTTCCACTTTCTTTTGTTTCCTTCTGCTTTGGCAGAAAACCTAACTGAGAATCCAATGAGTTACCAATTGCTTCAGTGACCCTCCAGGCTAGCCTCAAATGCAGATTTTGACCTATTCTTATTTCATTTTCTTCAGGTTCTACGGGATGTTCTGGGACCCAGTCCCTCCCACATTGTAGGACATTTGCCCTCTCTGTTTATCCTCTCTTATATTGTTGGTTGGCCAAATCCTTCCTGTGCTATGACTATCCCTTCAATTTCTCCCCACTAAAACCAGACAAGCGGCAGCAGCCCTTCTGCCCACCTGTGCCAATGGAGGCCTCCCTTTAAACAAACCTTTCCCTCTTTAATAGCACTTTCTGCCCGCTTGTGCCTGTGCAAGCATTATTTTTTTTAATAATTTTTTAAAAGATTTATTTATTTATTTACACAAGCACTGGGTACAGTCAGAAGTGCAGGAGGGTGAGAGAATTCATCAGAGCCAGAGCGGGGAACAGAACAGGCAGACTGACAAAATACACTGCTGAGGGGAGCAGCGGGCGCAGCTGGAGAGGTCTGTGCGCCATGTGGGACTCTCGCCGGCTGCTGGGAATCGAACCGGTGCTGCAGAGGCTGCGGGCAGCTTCGCAGCCCAGCGCTCAACCCCTGCGCCATCAGGGGGGGCCCATTCTTTTTTTTTTTTTTTAAGATTTATTTATTATTTATACAAGCACTGAGGTACATTCCAGAGGCGCGGGAGGGTGGGAGGATTCACCAGAGATAGAGTAGGGAGCAGAACAGGCAGAAGGACCGAAATACACTGCTGAGGGGAGCAGTGGGCGAGACAGGAGAGGTCTGCTGCGCCATGTGGGCATTTCCCTGGCTGGCTGGGGATCTAACCAGCACTGCAGAGGCTGCAGACAGCTTCACAGTGCTGCACTCAACCCACTGCACCACGAGGGAGGCCCCATGCAAGCATTCTTTACTCTTCTTTGCCTTCTATAATAAACCTGCCCTTTTGGATGGATATGTGTATATATACACACACTTACATACATACATATATTCATACACACATATATGCGAGGTCTGCTGCACCATGTGGGTAGCTCCCTGATTGGAGATCGAACTCCTGCTGCAGTGGCTGTGGATTGCTTCATAGTGCTGAGACCAAACCCCTTGCACCACCAGGGAGGCCCTAAGTCAACATTTATCTTGTGACCATCTGATTCAGAAAACATTGCAGATTATTTTGGATTTGAATTTATCTTCATTTTTATATACATCATTTTTTTATTGCGTTAACATTGTTTTACAGCGGTGTATATGACTTAGGTTCCCTATCATAGACCACTGGACCCACGCCTCCCCTTACTCCCTCCCCACACCTGCCCCCTCTAGTAGCCTCAACTCTATAGTCAGATTTCTAGGGTTTGTTTTGGTTTAGTTTTCTCTGTTCCTTTGCTCTTTTCTTTATATTGCACATAGGAATGAAACCATCTTGTATTTGATTTCTCCTGACTTATTTCTCTTAGCATCATCCCCTCCAGTTCCATCCATGTTGTTGAAAATGAGTTGCTCTTCTATTGGGCTTCTGCAGTGTTACAGTGAGAGAAGATATCTGGCCTGTAGATTTCAGGCTACTCTGTGATACTAAGTTAACTTCCTAGGCCCCTGTTTCACTCCTAGGATAAATATAGTCAGACAAGCTTTTATTTCTTTATTTTTTCCCTACTGATACAGGGCCTGCGGTGAGCCAGTGCCCGGGGTCCTGGGGGAGGGGATGGAGGAACGTGGGGGTGGGGGGCTGCCCATTGGCTCTCATTTAATCCTCTCTCTGACCTTGGGCTGACTTCTGGTATCCTTTCCAGCTCTCTGGGCTTCTGCCTTTGGCTGTTTTAGGGCCCAGAGCAGCTGCTTTCTTATTTTAGCTGCGCTGTCATTCTGTCTGTCTGGAAACAAAACAAATGAGCCCTGCTATATTCGTGTTCTGAAAAGGGCTTTGGAGAGTGCACATTTTCCCAAGCTCAGAATTGCTCTGTTGCTGGCTTTCCTGAAATCTGCCAAGAGACATACTGATTTTCTGTTGCCCAGAGGTTGCCCAGAGGTCGTCCTTGAGTCTGTTTTTTCCTAATAAAGCACTTCGCATGTAATAAGAACTGAAATCATGTTTTGAGGAGAAAAATATTTTACCCATTTTATTTTGCCAGTGTGTGATTCTTGAGATTGAATAAACTATCATTTTAGGTCCTGGTTTTGGGCATTTTATAATTTCATTTCTTCTTAAGTTTAACACATCTCCTATGTAGGAATGTATTGAAATTAAGCTAGTATCTGTAAAGTCTTGGATTCCTTGTTTCTAAAGCCAGACAATGAGAATGTGGATTCTGCTCCTCTCTCAATGTTACTAAGATTCAATGAGGTAACAGATGTGAAAATTAGTCAGAATATGTACCACACAACTTGTTACCATTTGGAAGGATATATATTTATTCCATGACTAAAATTCAAAAGGTGTAGTGAACTTGTTTTTATTTATTTTTAAAGATTTATTTATGCATTTAAGAACTGGGGTACAGGCTAGGGGTGCAGGGGGTGAAAGGATTCACCAGAGGCAGAGTGGGGAACAGAACAGGCAGATCTACTGAAATACACTGCTGAGGGGAGCAGTGAGCAAGACAAGAGGTCTGCTGTGCCATGTGGGTAGCTCCCTGGCCAGGGATCGAACTCATGCTGCAGTGGCTGGTGATAGCTTCATAGTGCTGCGTCTTAACCCCTTGCACCACCAGGGAAACCCCTGAGCTTGTTTTTAAGTTTTTTCCCCCCTCTTCTTTCTTTTCCCTTTCCTTTCTAGCAATCCAGGTCTACAGCCCTGGCAGGCAACATGAGCTAGGTGTCCACACTGGTAGGGGGATTGTGGTCCCCAGACACAGGGTCAGATCCTAGACAGGGGGAGGATGGTCTATACCTTGGAACAAACCCTGGCAGTGTGTTGGAACCAGATGGAGCAAGGCCTCTGTGCTTGTCAGGGAGTGGTAGTGGAGAGAGACTCCTGAAGTAGAGGGGACAGTCTTAGTCTCTTTGGATTGCTGGGCCCCTAAATAGCACAGACAGGGTGTCTTATGATCAATACTTTTTTTCCTCACAACTCTGGAGGCTTTGAAGTCTAAGATTACCAGCCTGGCCCATTCTGGTGAGGGGCTTCCCCTGGCTCCATGTCACCAGGCTAACTGCTGCTTGGGCACATGAGGGCAGTCCATGAACTTGTTCCCCATTTTCCTACTTATATTAGGAATGCAATAATGAGAAAGAAGATAGGAGTCAGATGTTACAAAATCCATAAAGGCTGACTTGGAAGATGAGCTCTAGCATGAGAACAAAAACCATGGGTGGAACCCATTCTACCATCTGGGCCTCAGGATTTGAGGCAAAGTTAGACTGAAGAGTCAATGTTTACATGGAGTGGAGAGGAGCAGAGCCCAGACTTTTTCCTTTTTCTTTTTTATTATCTCTTTCCCCCTGCCCTAACTCCAGAACACAAGGAATCTATAGCATTGAAGTAATCAGGCTGTAGGAGATACTTTTGCTTCCATATCTTTTTCTTTTTCTCATTAGATCTTTTCCTTGTTTAGGTGATTTTGCACCCAGAGTTTCTCTCCTCCACCAGCCCATTATTACCCATGGATTATGAAGAGTTTGTTCGAGGTTGTCATCTTGGTGTCTTCCCATCGTACTATGAACCCTGGGGTTACACTCCAGGTAAGAGACATGTGTAGAGGAAGACATTTTTGAATTAGAATATTATGTGCCTGTATATATGTATATATATATATATATATACAGGCACATAATATTCTAATATATATATAATATATATATATATAAAATATACAGAGCTGATATGTCATTTCTACATAGGGGTTGGTTTTGAAGATGGTTTTAAAAGTGATTTTGGTTGGCTCTAGGTCAGGGGTCAACCTTATGCTTTGTACATCTTAAGAATAAAGTTTATGTAAAGGTACTAGCGTATGGGGGCATATTTTAATGGACTCTAAGTTATTGTCTCATTGCATTCAAAAGAGAAAGAATATTTTATAAAGATTTTGTATTATTTAGCTATCGCCACCCATCCCATCCATTAATGTGAAGGGGAAATTGACTGCAGGTACTTGTGATGAGAACAATGGTTCAGAAAAATGGTCCTCTGAAATGTATTTCAGAAGAATACTTTTTTAAAAAAGATTCATTTTATTTATTTATGCATACAAGAGCTGCGATGTAGGCCAGAGGTGCAGGGGGTGAGAGGATTCACCAAAGATAGAGTGGGGAGCAGAACAGGTGGATCCACTGAAATACACTGCTGAGGGGAGCAGCAGGCAAGACAGGAGAGGTCTGCTGTGCCATGTGTGTAGCTCCTAATTGGGTATCAAACTCATGCTGCAGTGGCTGTGGATAGCTTCATAGTGCTGAGACTTAACCCCTTGAGCCACCAGGGAGGCCCCAGAAGAATACTTTTAAAAATACAATGGACATATTGAAATTGTAGTAGCTGTCATAGTCACAGGATTAAAGAAACAAACAGTATAAAGAGGTATAAGTGAAAAGTCTTCACACCCTGTCCCCCATGAAAAGATGTATTTTTAAGATAAAATGTCAACTTGGTGGTAGGTTTTATGACATAGGTCCAGCCACACCTCTTTTTTTTTTTAAACAGATGGTGGATTTTCAGATCCACCATGTTTCTTTCCTGGCTTCTACTTCTTTGATGATGAGGAGGAGCAGAAGGAGGAGTATAGTGTTTGTCTTCTCTCCATCAAACCCAGAGCCAGCCACTTTCCCCAGGCTGCCTGGGAGGTACAGGAAAGGGATCATATCCAGATCGCCTCCAGATCACAAAATGTTTCATCTTCATAATTCAGTCTATGAGCTCCCTCACCTTGATTGCTGCTGCCAGTTTAACTCTTCTGATCCTTGTTTAAATATAGAATTTAATATTTAACAAATCCTGTAAATGTTACAGTTGAAATGACATGAAGGCTCTGCATTTTTTATAGATCATATTCTATTGCTCTAGGTTCTACCAAAAATAATTTGTCAGCAACTATAAAAATATTACCACATTTAGGGGTAAACAAAGGATAATTCTTGAAACATGACGTAGAGAAGTTAGTGATCCGAGTCTCCCGCTATCCATCTTATAATTCTAAAAATTGTTATTGGCATCAGTTCCAATTGTGTAAAGTGTTGCTTTCTTCTTGATGAATTGTTCCAATAATTATCTTAAATTGCTTACAATAGACTATTTTTTGAGATATATAAAACACTGATGAATTTAGCAATCTGTTATCAACTCTTGTCCTATCATTTCTAGTAAGTAAAAATTAATTATCAATAACGTTTCAAAGATAAGAGAAGCACAAAGCAAATGCATGAGAATGAGGGAAGTTATTTATATTGGGGGAAGACAATGTTCTATAACTTACTGCAGATGTCTCACCACAATGTTAGTTTTGGTGAAATACTAAAGGTAGTATAGCTAGTGTTTTAAAATAGAGGCCAGGAGAGGTGTTATAAAAAAATAGACAGAAAAGGGAATATGGAAAAAACCACATAGTGAGTCACTGTGTTTTGAATTAAACAAGGCACCTGCCCCCTCCTTATCTCACCTGTAATTACAGAAATAATGGAGACCTCTGGTGGTATACTTTGGGTATTAGCATACTACATAACCAAATTTTTTAGAATGATTTTTTATGTGGTACTATGTATAACTTATTCCAGAAAGTATTCCTTAAAGCCCATTTTGTGTGTTGAGAAAATCTAATGAATGCAAGTACTTATTTCATTCAATGAACACCTACTCAGTTTACATGGGTACCTGGGATTTGTATACATAGATGAAAAGTTTTTTGAGGAGGAGCTCCAGTCTCCACCAGACTATCAGGTAGGTCAACATCTCCTGCCCCACCTACTTTCTGCCACCCCCTCTACCTCCCACTAAATTAGGAAATCAGTGCTCTCTAGCTCCAAACCCAGTGGAAATATTTACAGAGTAGGAGCAAGTCTGCTAACTTGTGCTTCTTCATGGGGAATGGGCAAGTCTCTTTCATTCCCACCCAACCCTGCTAGCCAACCAAAAGTGATTCCATGATCAAATGTAAATTTTTTGTCAAAAATGCAGATATCCTTGAGAATATGTTGCTTAGGACCTAGCCAATATTTTCTGAAAAGCAGGCTTTGACTAGAAGTTGAGAGAGGACTGGTGGACACCGCAGGCCCACTGAGCCACATGAGAAAGGAGAAAAAGGATTTGGGTCAAGACAGATTTATGTTGGGTTAGGCCCACAGCCTATGGTTCTATCCCATTGAGATCTTGCCAGACACCTAAAGGCATAGCCTTAGAATGGAGCTAAACAGAACCAGCTGGAATGAGACAGGCAATAGATATGTGAGTGGAACTTAGCAAGAGCTCTGGAGATGGCACCTGTGTCAGAATTCAATTCCACCAGGGCCCCTGGCTTCGTAAAGTTTGGGTGAGATACGTAACCTCTCTATGGTTCAGTTTCATCTGCAACATGGAGCTAGTGATAGCCTCCTTCACTTGTTGTTGAAACGATTAAATGAGTTCATACATATGGAGAGCCTAGTGTTCTGCCTGGCACCGCACCAATATGGCTGTTACCATGTGAACTCAGGTCGTTTTCCCCTCTGCGGGCAAAGGCCTATACAGGCACTGGTCAGCAGCCAAACCATTGTCTTCCCCTGCAGCTGAATGTACTGTGATGGGCATCCCCAGTGTGACAACCAACCTGTCTGGCTTTGGCTGTTTTGTACAGGAACACGTGGCTGATCCCACTGCATACGGTAAGGTTTGCATCATTAACTGGCCTCTAACAAGACATGGGGTCTTTAGAGAGCCGAACGCTAAAGCTACCCTGATGATTAACACCTGTTTATATAACACCTATTTATACATCTTGTTTCAGTAAAAGTAGGTGATAGTATGTGGTCCTTAGAAAAGAGAAAACTGCTATTATCACCATTTATATTAGCCAACATATTGAAACAACCTAAGTGGCCAAGGACAGAGGAGTAAATAAAGGTGTGGTGTATATACATATGGCATACTACTCAGCTCTAAAAAAGGAAGAAATCTCAGTATTCGTGATACAATGGATGGAGCTGGAGGGGGTGATACCAAGTGAAATAAGTCAGAAGATAATGTCACTCATTATGTGGAATATAAAAAAACAAAGCAAAAGAATAGACAGAGCTAAACCAAAAACAAAGCCTAGAAATCTGACGGCAAAAGTGAGGCTCCCAGAACAGGAAGGTGGAAGTGGAGAGCAAACGGCGGAGGGGGCACAGTGGGCTGTGGTGGAGGACTATGGATGTTTTGGTGGTGGGTGTGGTATGAAGAGGTGTGAACCTGTACCCCCCTAAATCATAGAGTGGGAAGCAATGTGACCTCAATAAAAATAATACAATTTTTTTAAATACTATTAATATGAAATAGTTACCCAAAAGACAAACTGTAAAAGTAGGCTAAACTTTGACTAATCTTGCCCGGTTATCTTTTTATTTTCTGAACTGGTTTGACCCTCTGCTCCCCAGAAGTAATATTATAATAGCCACAGTCTCAGAGTACATACACTGATCAGCAGCATTATTGAAAGTCCATGCCCACTTAGTGAAATTCACTTAAGTTGCTGAAGATGGCAGGAGAATGTGCTTATCATCATCTGCATGTCTAGGCTGCCTAGCAGCAAGAGTCTGGTGGATTCTCTGCCCAGACATGACCAGTCCCCTGCTTTTTGCTATTGCTGTTTCTGAGCCCTGGCCTCATCAGGGTGGAAGCCTGGGGAACAAACCTAGAAAGCATGGACACCAGGTCCCAATGGGAATTCCTGGTTAGTGAGCAATCCCAGGGGGAATCACTGATCCGGGTATTCCTATACCGCCAGATTATTATTATTTTTTAATCAGGACTCATTTTGTTGGCAGTGCATTGGTGACCTGTAAGTACTTAAGAGATCAGAGAAGAAAAACAGCCTTAGAAGGAAAAGTTGAAGCAGGGTGTGTAGGGGAGTCAGCCAGTGGCTCATGCATAGAGTCTATACAGAAGCTGAGGAAGGGGAGCAGCTTTCACACCTTTCTTGGTTTTTGTGCCTTTCAGGTATTTACATTGTTGACAGGCGGTTTCGCTCTCCAGACGATTCTTGCAATCAGCTGACTCAGTTTCTCTATGGATTTTGCAAACAGTCACGCCGCCAAAGAATTATCCAGAGGAATCGAACTGAGAGGCTCTCAGATCTTCTGGACTGGAGATACTTAGGCAGAGTGAGCAAGTTTGTGACCAACATGAGGAGCACTTAAAAAACTCCACTGGACTCTCAAAGTATTGATTCTGTTAGCCACCTGAGAAGTCAGTTCAGGATCATCATTGTTGAAATTTCAGTGATGTTTTCACATAATTTTAAACTGCATGAGTTTTCAAAATCCTAAAGTCAACATTTTACATTCACACATATGAATCTTACTAGTTATTCTGTGTCCACGCTTAAATCGATGTTACAGGCAGGTAGAAATGTTTTATGAAGGCAAGGAAAACATCAGCAACCCTATTCCTCCACTACAGTGGGGGTTGAAGGTTATATTGTTTTTGAAAATGACAAGAACAGAAAAGTCTCTTCAGTCAGAACATAGCTTTATAATCACGCAGATGTTTTTATTCCTAGTATTGATGATTTAATAGAAAAATACATTAACAGCCCAGTAGCAGCAGGTCTCAGTAGTAGCAGGTGAGATCAATTAAATGGTTAAGCGGACTTTGCTTTCACACAATGTGTCTGCTTAATACTGTCATGTGTCCCCAAACACATGCTAGATGGTACCATTTGCTGAGCTTCTACACACCCCAATGCCAGTGCTCATTGCAACCCTGGGTGATTCATTTCCCTGTCTTGTTTTGACAATACAATTAGAATTTTAAGGCCTTTGCAAGTGTGTCTTACTTGAGGTCCAAAGCAGGATTTAAATTCAGTTCACCTGATTGCTTAGGCCCCATCTTTTCTCCAGGCCACAGCAGCTTTTCTGGAGAATGAGATCAGTGATTTCAGTGGCCTTAGTGCCACTGAATTAGTGCCCAGTGCCACTTAGAATTCATCAGTGTGGCTTTTTCCTCCAAGTTTCTGTAGCCTTTCTTTACCCATTCACTTAAAAAATAATTGAACTCTATCATTTTTTTCTGATACTCAATTGTAGGATAAATAAATTTGCCACTTAAAAAAAATATTTCATAACTAGGAGAACAAGAGTTTATAACTTAATTATTGAGATATAGAACTTTTTTTTGACCCACAAATTGGTTTTCTATCCTAGTATCACCAGCATGCCAGGCACCTGACATTAAGCAGAGCTTTTCCAGACAAATTCCATATGGAACCCATATCACCACCAACGGTAAATATATTATATATTGCTTATTTGTTTTGAAAGCTAGTTCTTTATGGTAAGTTCAAACAATACCTTTTAATTGGTATTGTTTTAATTGGGATAACTAAGGATACAGACTATTATACTTTATAATAATGTTGCTTCCACTTACATGCTGCGTGACCTTGGGCAAGTCATATAGCCTCTCTGATTCTCAATTTCTTCTGTAAAGTGGGAAGAACGAAGTTATCAGTGTTGTTACAAAGATTAAATAAAAGGAATACATTTCATATTAGCATCATATAGCATTAGACATCATATAGCATTAGACATTAGTGCTTAATAAAGTTATTTATACAATGAATATTTCTTGAGCTTGGTGAAACCAGAATCAAAATGAATCCAAGCTAACAGCTATTGTTTATTGTATGCCCTCCCAGTGTTTACCACTGAAAATCAAGGCATTGTTTACACTGTTTGTTTCATTTTTGTCTTGGCAGACAGAAGGGTTTAAATACCCCAGACCTTCCTCAGTTCCTCCTTCTCCATCAGGATCTCAGGTCTCCAGTCCTCAAAGCAGTGATGTGGAAGATGAAGATGAGGAGGATCGATACGATGAGGAAGAGGAGGCAGAAAGGGACCGGTTAAATATCAAGTCACCTTTTTCCCTGGGTCATATTCCTCAGGGGAAGAAAAAGCTGCATGGTGAATACAAGAACTGAACTCCACCCTTGCTGGGCAGAGTTAATATAGTGAGAACACAGTAGGAATGACATGTATTCTTGAAATGTATTCTCTGCCTGGAACATGGAGATTGAGTGGCAATTTTTGTAATTTATAAAAAAAAAATCCAAATTCTTTTCCAGATTCCTTTTCCCCAGCGCATTTAGGTGTGAGGAAGGATATTAATTAAAGAGGAAAGACTGGGGAGTGTTTTTTTAAATAGATAAGAATTTTCCTTGACGACTATTTTAAAATTTTTATTTTAAAATTGCCATCACCATAATTCTTTGCTTAGCATTTATACAGCTTCCATACCCTACCAAAACAGTCCCCCATCGCCCTCAAAGGCCTTGATCTTAGCCATGAATGTGAACTACCTACATGTTTCAAACTTGGCCTTAGCAATTATTTTCATTTTTCACATGAATCAGAACCATGAATTTATAGCTAACTTTGCAGACAATCAAAATTCATTAGAAATAAGCTATCCTAGGTCCCGATCTAGATGCATATTATTGTATATTACAAGGTCACTTCTCAAATAAATCATAGGAAAATGTTACTATTTGTTCTGTCCATCCAACTGTAACAATTTTTCTGTTAAAAAGGAAAACCTTTTTGAAAACTTGTTCAATCATCTGCAAATAATAAATTGTTAGCTACAAATAAATAAATGCATCAATATTTTAAAAATTTAGTTTTCATTAATAATGGCTTGTTTACTAGACATTTAGGGCCTCCCTGGTGGCGCAGAAGTTAAAGACAGCACTATCAAGCAATCGCCAGCCACTGCAGCACAAGTTTGATATCTGGTCGGCCAGTGAGCTGACCCACATGGCGCAGCAGACCTCTCTGTCTTGCCTGCTGCTCCCCTCAGCAGTGTGTTTCAGTAGATCTGCCTGTTCTGCTCCCCACTCTCTCTGGTGAATCATCTCACCTCCCGCACCTCTAGCCTACACCCCAGTTCTTGTATGCATAAGTAAACAAATCTTTAATAAAAATAGACATTTAAATAAGACCTACTAGGAAGCACCTGCTATGAAATAGTGACTCATGAAGGGTTACACTGGAAATCAATCATCTTTTAAAAAATTAACAAAAGGACAATAAAGAAGCTACTTATTTTTAATAATGTCTCTATCATTCTGTGATGTGAATGGGTTCAATTAAACAGATTTATAGTTTCAATGTAATCAAATCTAAATTGAGAAAAAAAGCAAAAACAAAACACATTCATTCTTGGATTGCTTTTTGTAACAACTGAATTTCATTACCTTTAGATCCCAGTTAACACCTTGGCTGGCATTGCCGTTGGCCTAGGTCAGTATAGGCTCTAAAACCATGTTGGTCGTCTGGGTACTGGATTTGTGGATGGCAACCAGGGAGGAATAAGAATGATGATGTGACAGTTGGTTCAGAGCAGCAGCAAATTATAATCCAGCTCACCTACTGCCTCATTATTAGGAAAAAGGAGAACAGTGGATATAGGCAGCAAAATCCAGCCAGAATGAAAGATGGCTGCCGGCTCACTGCAGTTAGAGGTTCAAGAAGGGCAACAAATTACCTAAAAGCCTAACCCTTGAAAAATGCCCTGTGGATGCTGAGCAGTTTACAAAACTCAGGCCCTGGAGAGCAGATAAAACATGAAATGCATTTGTGTTACCATATTAAGCCTCATTTGCTGAAGAGCCATAAAAATCTCATGATAAACAGAGGTTTCATCCTTACCATAACTGATGTCAGTTGGGAGAGGTGTTGGGTTCAGAGAGCCAGGACCTTGGGTTACCTCTCAGAAAACTTTCTTCAGAGCTCCCCTTTCAGCGCACAGGGTGAGTTTTCCCACAAGGCAGAGACATTTAGTTATATCCAAAAGGGCAAGTGTAGGACCTGCACAGAATAGGATCTCGATGTTCCGGAGCAGATGGGTAAAGGAGAGTCCTGGATCCCTCGGTGGCTTTTCAGGCTTTTGTTGAGCTTTTACCAGGTACGGCAGGCAGGGGGTTGGGAGGATGGCAGGCCTCCCAGCCCCCAGCGAATCTTCACTCTTCCTGGGCTCTCTTGTGGTCTCCGCTTCTCTGCTTTCCTTTGCTACTACTGTTTCTACCACTGCTGGGTTCCCGTGATGCCCCCACTTATAAGCCCAGTCTCTCAGCCCAGGCGCACCTACTTACACAGGCCCACACCTACTCCAGGTGTCCACCATCAGGCACATGTGCAAGCTCACAGGTGTCTATCATTAATGCTAATGGCGGAGGGGGGAAATCCTGATAATTTTTACTTACCCTACAGTGCCTAAGGATTTTTCTATATTTGATTTGATTAAATCCATTTGAAAGGACCTGTGATTTTTTTTTTTTACAGTGGCCCTTAATCTTCATATGCCCACCTGATCTTCACCTCCAGATACTTTACTTCTCTATAGCTGGTTTAACGACTATGAGGGTCAACAAGACATTCCAAATAGAGGACAGTGAAGAAAAAGATAAGGCTGGGACACAGAGACTTAGTTCTGGGCACAGAGACATTGAGGCAGTGAGTGAGACACCGAGAACTAACCAATCACAGAGAGACTGGTGGAGCTTTAGAATAATGAGGGAAAGAAGGTCTATATTCCCTGAGACACGACTCCACTTTGGCTTCCTTGCCCCTCCCTGGCCTGGTTTCATGGCCTGGGAGTCCACTTTATTTCTGTTCCTTTTCTCCTCAATAAACTTTTTCTTTCTCTAAACAAACCTGCCTCTTCTCGCTTGCTTGCCTGAGCGTCTGTGAAGTTCCTGCTGCGGCTTCGTGAGACACCAGCCCATGGTGGTCTAGTGGCTGGGACTCAGCGCTGCCCCTGCAGCCTGGGATCCCTTCCTGGCTGGGAGATGAGGCCTGAAAACCTACAATTCTGGCATCAGAGACATGAGACAGAGATGTGAGTGAGAGGCCTGTGAGGAGGCTGACAGTGGCTGCCTTTATCTTGATTTTGCTCTTCTCCTTCCAGACACGCCTGGCCCCTTCTACCCTTTTTCTATGGGTCCCCACAAGAGGGCCGTTATACTAGGCACAAGCTTCTGTACCTCAACAGTTCTGCTTTGGGCTAACCCTGTTTGGGCATTTACCCATGAGAATGGGTAAACTTGGGTGCCTGCTTTGAAAAATATATTTTTTCTTTCTTTTATCTTAGCTGCACACTAATTATTACACGCTGATTGTATTAATTTTCTACTGAAGGTCTTACACATGAGCATGTTTTGTTTAAATGGCAGAACCCATTTAGAGTAGGCACGTTTGGGGCTCTGAGGTGCCTTTTACCCTGCCCTATGATGCTTATTGTCACTGGACTCCATGCCCTTGCTCCAGTCCTTCATCCTTCTCCAGACTGATACAGCCTAGTGAGAAGCCAATAGCATCACTGGTAGATGCCTCTGTGTCTAGCACAGTGTTATATGGTGGAGGCTGAGAGTAGAAAATTCAGGAAGGAGGCATCGTAAGACCAGAAACTGGCTCGCACAAGGCCAGAAGCTGGAGGTAGAGGTAGAAATGATTAACATAGTTGTTAAACCACCTGTATCTGGAGGTAAAGACCAGGTGGGCATATGGAGATTAAGGGCCCTTGTAAAAAAAAAAAAAAAGAAAAAGAAAATCACAGGTCCTTTCAAATGGACTTAGTCAGACCAAATATAGAAAAATACTCAGGGCACCAACCCTATAAATAATTAATTTAACAGCACTGAACAATCCCACAAAGGAATGAACCCCTCCCAGAGAAAAAAAGACTATCAGTGCAACTTCTGCACTGGCAGAGGCAGCTCTCCTGCCCGCCTGTGCCTATGTGGGTGTTTCTCTTCACCAGGCTTCTCCCTTGGCAAAGCAGAAGAGGCAGCTCCTCCCGCAATGGCTGCCGCCTAGGACTCTGCAGGCCTCTCTTTTAGCAAAGCTGTCCTTGTCCAAGGCAGTAAAGTGTCCTTTACTTCCCTTCCCTTTTCATAATAAACCGGCCCTTTTGGATATAACTGAACATCTCTGCCTCATGGGAGAGCTTGCCGTGCGCCACTGAAAGGGGAGCTCTGAAGAAACTTTTCTGAGAGGTAACCCAAGGACCCGGCTTTCTGAACCCAACACCTCCCAACCAATCTCATGATGCAAGTTGTTGCATAAATGAATGGTCTTATTGGGAGAAACAGGCGTAAAAAATAAATGCTTTTAAAGAAGTGTGTATATTCCCAAGTTGAAGGACAAGAACTGGAGAAAGCAACTTGTGTGTGCCTGACCAGCGAGCTTGTGTGCTTTGTATGGCCCTTCCTTCCAAGGCCAGAGTTGGGTGAACAGAGCAGTCTAACACATGCGGATGAGGACATATGATGCCAACAGCTTCCAGCACTGGGAGGACTTTGAAGAGGACTAGTCGAGTATATGGGGTCCATCCAAGGGCTTCATTGAGTGAGTCTTACTTTCCATGAAGTTAAGGAAAACAATCGCCCACTTCACGTGGGGGTTAGAAGGATCAAATCAATTAGAAACCAACTCTTCCTAAAGGATGTGTAGTCCAGCAGATGAGCACACTGTATCCCTGACTCCCCTGTCTCCTGGGGTGAAATATAATGCCACTCAAGGTCCATGGGACACAGCTGTCATTCCTCATAAGCTGGTAGACAAGAAATGATAGTTGGAGGCTAATTTTAAGATATGATAGTCTCTAAGCTTCCTTGTCTCCTCACTAAGGAACACAATGATGGTGTGGAAGGCAGAGGCAGGGGAACAAAGGCTAATGGAAAACCTCAGGGGTGGGGAAGTGGGGACAGAGAGCCACTGAGTTAAGGACCCAGAGGCAGAGCGGGGAGGGAACTGGAACTATGGGAAAGTGGCCATCAGTTGGACCTGGAGTGGGGGTAGACAACATGGATAAGCACTTGAGGCAGAAATTTCCCAATTTTAAATATAGCTATACAATGGGAACACATTTTGATCACTGATCACTTGTTTGTTTCAGTTTTGAAGAGAAAGAAAAAGAATTGCAAAGATGCCCCGAGAGAGTTACAGCAAATTGGGCATAGGGACTTTCATGCACTACTATATTAATCAGCACATCTTGCAAGAGGGCAGTCCAGGAATTCAAGTACTAATAACATTTGGAGCAGATATTTTTTATA